TGGTGAAGTTATATGAATCATAGTTATTCATTTTGACCTCATTATCTTGTTTTTTTTTCTTAATCTAGTATGATATATAATCAGCAACAACTGCATCGTATATAGACGAGATAACACACCAAATTTTTCACAACCTTGTTCTCGCCTCGCTGCTAAGCAAGGCAGTGTAACTGGCTAAGTTGTGAATATCTGTTATCCAATATTTGCTATATTATTCTTCTCTGGCATCATCTATAATAAATTTCTATCATACACCCATTATATGCATATAGATAGTTATATTTCTTCATAACTATTTCGTTCACAAATTCTCGTCATTCATAACTTTCTCTATTCTATACTGGTATCTATTATTTAAAAGTGTTACTCGTTTTTACAATGAAAAAATTCTATTTATTTTTAGTAATTTTTTTCTAATCAATAATACAATACAAAACACTTGATTCTAAAAACTAATAGAAAGAATTCAAAACTTTAGGATTTATTTAGTCGACAATAAAAGTCTCGATAATGAATAAATCAATTACATTAATCTTTGCATCTTTCAATTTATGATGAAAATTGATGTTTGCCAATTGAAAACTATATTAGATATTGAAAAGATGGAGATGGATGTAAAGCTGTCAATATTGCTTATACTCTCTTATCTTTTATTCTAATTTGCTTTATTTGACTTTTTTCTTTCTTATTTCATCCATGCCAGCTGTTACATGGTCCCTAATGATTGGTATCTTTTTGCCATACGATCTGTTAAATGTTGTTATGTATAGAACTCTGACATTTCTATCAGCAATGTTTCTGTTTGTTTATCATTGATAAGATTTGCTTATAGTAATCACTCAATCAATTAGATGATGTTAACATGCTTTTTCAAGAATCATACGACTATAAATGAAACATCATCTAATTTGACATTGTAACTGTCAATCTGATTCGAAAAGTATTTTTTAGACAAGAAACATGAAAAAAAATATAAAATCATTACTTTACCTTCATTTATATTTACATCATTTGCATTAAATTGTATCGATCATAAACAACTCAAAAGGACTTATCATGACTGCAATCAAAATTATGTCTATAGTGTGTATGTAGTTGGTTGTTTTTTTTTTCATATTTTGACATGTCTAAAATCCGAATTGATTGTTATTTAGATAACTATATTTTAACTTGTTTTTTTTTTTTCTTATATTTTATTATTTGCTTAAACTTTTACTGAATAAGATATCTGATATAGAATAGTTGATGTTATTTTTAATAACAAGAAAACCATGAAGAAGTTTTACTCTACAGGTTGAATATAAATGAAATGAATTTCAACAAAACTGCTGTATTTTCATATGAGTATTGTATTTTATTGTTAATGATATGACATTAGACAGAATTTATATACATTAACTAAACTGTTTCGTAATACTTTTCTTCCGTATGGTATAGAATTGCATCTAAGAATAATTGCACTTAACAATATAATAACAAAAGTATGATTACATGTAATATATCATCAAAAAGAGCTAGTTAATAGAATTCTGAAATTTTCAGTAGGACATTGTTGAAGTTGTTTGAAAACAATTATTGAAAAATGTTTATTTGATATTTATAATTATGTGTTTCGAGAAAAAAAAACTGTTTGACTACCGATGGAACAAAAATAGTATGATACTGTATGAAAGAGAAACATATGATGTCTCATAATTCGATTCAATAAATACATTTGTTTGAATAGAAAATGTGAATATTCTTTCTTGACTGATATTGAATTCCAGAAGAGTAATCATGATAGGTCTTCAAATCAACGTAGATGACGTTTTAATCGATATGACATATGTAGCAAACCAATTGGCTATAAGTATCAAATAGTGTTAAGAAAATTAATAGTCTTTTCCCCCCGGCATGTAAAAAAAAAAGGAGTTGAAAATATTTCATAATCAAAATGCGTTTAAGAAGCAACTTGTCTTGTTTAATTGTGTATAGTCTTTTTAAACCAAGAAAAAAAAAGAAGTTTTTTTTGATAATGAGCATTATTTAAAGCTTCATATGCCTTGGATTCATGGTCGTTTTATTCTTGGTATACTAATTTTCAATGTTATGAAATAATATCAACGAATGATTACTACTCTGTTTTTCCGTTTTCTTTTTCGATGATTATAATTATGGCTAGCAGTATTCATAATCGAACCGAACCTTGAATATAGACTATACGATTTATGTGACTGTCAATTGGCAAAAAAAAACGGGATGATGATTATGTTGAGATACACGCCATCGTATATGAATTTTCTAGTGTTTTGGCAGTTCAAGGTTCAGATTTACTTGAATAGTGTCTATTGATAACGATTAACATCATTGGTTTTATCATCTTTTCAGAAGTGTATACTTTCTCTTATTTGACCTCCACTGTCGCCCTATATGCATTTATGTCCTCGTGGATCGATGGATACAGTAGTGATAAAAAACGAAGCGAAAATCGATTAATGGTTATACTTCTATAATGAAAGCCCACTAATATCAGCATTATTACGCATCGTTTTTCAATGCTCAAATCAAGTTACATTAATCAATCAGGTATATCCTCTATATGTAGCAATGTATTTTAAATTGATTCATACCACCTCCTACTTACTATGCGCATATGTATATGTATGCATACATACGTTTATATATGTATACGTTAATATTTACCTCTCCAATGTATGGTTCATCCTTCAACGCTCTTCTATAATCAACTAAGCAATATAATAAAATATCTATTTCATAGTAGGAAGAAGCAATCAATAAGAGAAGAGAAAACGAGAGAGAGAGAGAGAAAAAAAAACAAATAAAACTGATTGCCTGTGACGAAATTTCAGACGCTATCGGCTATCATTTTTCATCGGATGTTACAGGTACTGACTTAGGCAGATGATGTACACATCTTTATTCTCTTATTAATAAAAAAAAATCTAAAGACAATCATACATAGACAATGAATACTGCTGGCAATATTGAAGTAAGTATGAAAGTATTGACTGTCACTTACATATAAACATATATTATATAAGAGAAGGTAGGAGCAGCTATGGCTATTCTGTCTCACCATCTCTGTTTGAATTTGGTTTAAATCTTCGTCATCTCACTTCATACATATTTTCCTACATGACTTGCCCCTTTCGGCTTAGATGACGATCATATGTTTTTTTTTGTGCATGAATGTATATGTATATGAGTACTTATGTATTATACAGAAGTAGAAGTATGGCGATGAAAATTGAGCGACTCGTTTGCCAGTAATGTCGACCTCGATATACTTATTATATGAGAACCGTTCGAGTAGAAAAAGGCAAGCAGACCAACACACAGAACGTTTATGTAACAATTGTTTCCTCTTTTGTTGTTGTTACTGTTGCTGGTCGATTTGAGCTTTCACTCGCTTGATTATAATGGTGAAACAAATAACAACGACAATACCTTGTTGCTTATGCTATTAAACAAACAGGTAAAGTGGGTCCTTTTAGTTGCATGTCTACGATAGCTTCGTTTTTTTTTTCTTTTTCTCTTTGTTGGACATTATGTCATGTATACGTGAGTGTCATTTTCTCTCTCACTCTCTTTCTTCTTTCTTACTTTGATTATAAAAAAAAAGTGGTCAGTTGCTGATAATATTACTACGAATGGAATGTTGTTTTGAAAAAAATATGAGTAACGATCCAGTTACTCTATATCTCAGCAATGATGAGTATGTACTTGACAAATATTTCTATGCAATGAATTTCTCTTTTCTCTATCTCTACATACTAAGTATAGAATGTCCATATAAATATACATATCTATGACCTTCACTAATGTCTACTCTAATTTATTAGAAATGAAAAAGATAAGTAATTTTATGCTAAACTAGACACTGTTGATTTTTATTTCAAACGTACAGACTACTTTTCAAGATGTATGAAGAGCTTAGACAGATAGGTAGACAGCTGCGTGTACTGTTTCTTCAATCATATTATGCTTAATCTATTCATAATGCATAATAAGACTCTGTTTGTAAATGAGTATATAGTATTAAAAATAATAAGTTGTTCATACGTGGGTGATATTGAACATTAGAAAAAAATAAATAATGAAAGAAAGATACTACTAATGCTTCATTCCTCTCGGACTAAACATAAGTAGAATGATCATCGATTAACTGAAACCGATCAAATTAAGATTAATAGTGATTATATAAAATACATTTGAGATAAACAGAAAAAAATTAATGTATGAATTGCTCTCATTTTTTTTGCGGTGTTGTCCGCCACCGAGTGCCTATTTTGATAATGTTACATGAAGCCAGAATAACAACGTGAGGATGATATCAATATCATCACTAGTGCCATCGTTGTCGTCGCAAATAGATGACGACGATCATGAGAATAATGAAGATGAATGTATCCAGCTAAAGAGAAACAAGCAAAAAAAATAACCGATAAAAAAAGACGAATGCTTGATATATTCATTTTATGTAGACGATATGTCTACAAGAACCGTATTCTTATATTTTACGTTATTAATCGAGATCAATATCTCACTATCTATTATTATTAATTATCGACAAAAGACAATATAAATTGTCTTTTTTTTTTTAATATCTATTGTAATTGGAAAAAACAAATCCCAAAAAAGATATTTCATTTCGGAAATCTTTTTTTTAACAAAACACATTATCTTTTGTTAATCAGGTAGATACATCGTTTTTATTAGCTTATTTCGGTCTTTTTCTTTTGTTGTTATTCTTATCGTTTTTTTTCTAACGTTGTCACATCAGTCATTAGTTGCCCTATTTTGCTTGTCTCTTTGTTTATTTATCAATGTACAGGTATGTTCTAGCTAATTATACACATCTAGAATGATTACGATGGCTTACTCCTCTTGTTTCGATATACTAGAACGAAAAAAAAGAAAGAAAATTATAATTAATTTTTTTTTCTTTTATAGTTTTTTTTTTTTGTCATTTGGATTTATAAATATTGAACAATAACAGAATGCGATTCTCAAAAACTAAATCTGATAATACAACATTATTAATTAATGAACATGAGACAACAACGTCTCCAATATCATCAGTGTCGCATAGAAATCATCATTCGTCTATTCAATGTCATACCTTACTAGAAGAGCATATGCCAGATTCTAAAGATAAATCATTACCATCTTCAGAATATATTTATACTGAAATTGTTAAAGCAATTGGAAATAATGAATTTATTGAAGAAAAACGTTTACTTAAACGAGCTAGTTGGAGTCCAGGTGTCCCTCAAGAACATGGTTTACCACCAACTGGAAAACGTACAGACAATGAACAATTAACAACAAATAGAAATTCTAATCGAGTACGCATAAGACCAAAAGTAGCCAGATATTTTCAACCACAACAAAATTCACACTATCATCAAATATCTTGTGGAAGACCTGCTTCATTTAATGAAGGATTCAATCGTCATTCAGTTGATCCTCAATCAAGAAAACTTGCAAATTCATTTTTAGTAAGTTATCTAATACAACACAAATTCACCCATATCTGTTTGTTGTTCAAACAAACATAGAATTCGAGCTTTTTTATTTGCATTGTTTTTGAATGAGTATTGCCAAAAATGTTCTTACAACTTTTGTCCTCATTCAACGTATCTCTTGCATGAAATCTATTTGTTTCTCTGCAATAGATTACATTTGAAATTATATAATGATAGAAACCGGAAGTGTTTTTATTACTCTATAAAATGGGTATGATAAATGATGGTTTGATCCACTTTATGATCGAAACATTTTACAATCTCTTCATTGATTTAAAAAATAGATCATCTAACTTGAGCAATACTGTTTAGATATTGAAAGAATGAATTTTTTTCCTTTTTTTTTTAATGTGAAACACATTTTCTGAAACAATATGTCATTTTCTACGAATTCAAATCAATTTTAAGCCCTCAATAATGAATTCCTTCTCAATGTCTTATCTTTCCTTTATAAAACAATGCTTTTTTTTTAATGAAAACTAAGCCATATAGTATGCTTCATTTACTTTTGAAGAATTATTGAGAAACTTCCTAAAGTATAAACGTGAATAAAATTTAAAAAAGACTATTTTGTTATCTAGTTAATTTTCAAGAAAACATTTTTCTTCGAATTCGAAAAAGAAATATAAAGAAAACGATATGTTGCAAGAGCTCTTTGGACAATGTTTGACATCAGACTTTTTTCACTCACAACTTGTTCCAGAAAATTAGTTTTCTCATATCTTTTTGAAAGTCGACTTTTGCTCTGTCAACAGAAAATAAGCATAAGTTGTTCTGCTATTTCCCTATGTAAAGAACCATTGGTCGAGATTTTGCCAATTATTTTTGTATCGTAGAACTTTCCAAGTAAATATTATATCAATATTATTGAAACATATCTGCTATTGACATCAATTTTTTATAAATATATAATTTAGACAAAGCTAAATATAGTACTTTTTCTCAATAAAAGACTATTCACAAATCATTTTAACACGGTTTTGAATCATCCAGATGTTTGTATTCTAGAAAGAACGATTTATTAATAATTTGTTTTTTTTTCCTTGCTTTAATAGAAACATAATGATAGTTTTTCATATCAACAGCGTGAATCCTCACCTTCTCTCTCATCATCTTCAGTTGATGCACTAGTACATGTTACAGGATGTACATCACCTTCATATGACAATAGTGATTTTATGAGTGATACATCAACTGCATCATCAATAACAACGGCAAATACGCTAACATCTTTATCTTCAATCATTCCTTCTCATATATCACGACGAACAAGTCCTAATAGCGAACGTATTCATCCATCAATAAAACGTCCATTATTAAATGAATATCAACAACAAAATTTAACACCTATTGATTACAAATTTTCCTCACCAGCTATTACTGTTCGTTCAATATCTCCAATTTCCTTACCTCCATCTATTTCTACTTCTATAACTTCTTATGCTCAATCAAAAGGTCATGAACAGTCATTGTCGTCTGCCAAAGGGTCATCACTAAATCAATGTACAGAGTTTACTTCACAAACATTAACTGCTGATACATCTCGAGACAACATTGGTCCTTCAACCACAATAACGACACGTAGTATAATGACTATGTCAATGTCACCTAATCGCCATCATAATCAAACGCGTTCGGCAAAGGCTATCATCACATCATCTCAAATATCGCCATCACCAAACGTCACAATCATGACAAACAATAGCGATGGATTAAAACAGCAACAGCAACGAGATCAAACAGAATCGTAAGTGAATTTCACATCAGTCTGTCTATGTTTACTTTTCCTCTCATAAAATACCAATCAAAAACTGGTTGACAAGTGATTGTCAGTTCATTTTCTACTTTTTTCTTCTCTTTGTTATTTTTTCATTCTATTGAATTACTTCTATGTATGTATATATATATATATATATATATATATAGGACAATGGTTTGTAATAATGGTTGTTTAAAATCACCGACAAATACAAATAATAATAATCGTATGAAAAAATCTGTTCATTTTGACTGGCATTTGCCTAAAGAAATTCGGTCACGTTCACCATCACCGGTCAATATAGATTCTAGTAGTAATTACCAACAGACTGTTGCAATTGCATCTTCATCTTCTTTGTCCAATGGTAATGGTAATAGTGGCGACAATGACGAACAAAAGAAACTATGCGATGATCAACGTGATGTCGAGACATTGAGAGAAAAAGAAAGAATTGAAACAACGAGGAGGACAATCACTACTAACCCGCTGACCACTACCACCAACACAAACACAATTCTTCATTCTTTTTCTCTTTCTCCATCACCGCTATCGAAAGAAGAGGGTAACGATAGTCGACCATATAGAGAAGAGAAAAAAGAAAATGTCGACGAGCCAAACTGCATTACTTCTCAACGAGTAACAACTGCTGCTACTCACCTTCATTGCACTACTACTACTGCTACAGTCACTTTCAATGACGGTAGCAACAACGTCTTGCAAAAAAAAGAATCGAATGGCACGAACAATTCTAATAAAAGTACGAATGACCTCTCTTCTTTCTCTTTTTAATCAATCATTGAGACGGTTTCTTTTTTTTTTTTTATTTTATTCAAAGATTTATTAAAACGACAATCACCATCAGTTGATAAACCTATGCCATTGAATAGTTTACTTGTAAAAACATCTTCACTTAATACAATTATTAATCCACAAATCCCACAACAATCATCATCAGCAACATCAACAGCTAAAAAATTAATTAGTAATGGTTTTTTTAATTTTATTGGTCGTTCAAATAGCAGTAATAACAAGTCATCAACATCGACCGAAGAAAATAAACAATTACGACGTACATCGTCCACTCAACTACGTGCTCAACGAAAGACTAAACAACATACGACATTAACAACAGGGACAAACGGAAATAAACGTCTTAGTGCGGATGTCGAATCTCTTCTTCCTGTATCTTCAATCAATAGCAATCATTGTGAAATATCGAATGAAGATGATCATATATTTGACAAGGTTACAACAAATAATAATAATAATATTAATAGCGAACGACAATCATCGATTTCTCTTGTTTCAACATTGGTAGACAAGAGTATGAATGGTACTAGTTCTTCTAACATCGGTAAGTATACGAGCCAAGGTCAATATGAGACTTTACCATGATGACATGTTCGTATGTAAAGGAGTAGGTGGAGTGTGTATTTCAAGGCTCTTTTATTTTTTTTTTCTCTTCATCTCTTTCTTATAATATTCTCATTTAGAATCATCTATCCCACTGTGTACAAACACTAACATCAATAATAGTTCATTATCAATGTCAACGAGTTCTACGACGACAATTATGAAGTCGGATGAAGGTGATTCATTAAATAATGGACTTCTTTTTCGACCTGTAACTGATCCCAAGTGTGATTATGTTTTACATGATCATCAAACAATAAAAAAAGAACCTTTCTTTTTATCACCACCAAAATCATTGTCTAATGGTGATGAATCTACTATGATGCAAACATCGACACTTATTATTTCGACACCACCACAATACCATTATTATTTGTATCCCCCAGCTGATAATACAAATACATTGTCATCATCATCATCATCATCATCGTCATCATCATCAATATTATCGAAAAAAAATTCGAAATTAATTTCAACAACAAATCGTACTGTATCCAATGTTAGTATCAATAGTGTTAGTACAAGTTCATCTTCATCATATCGATCATATGAATCTCAAATGCATGATAATGAATATCCACAATCAAGTTATACAGCTCTTAATGCTGAAGATGAAACTGCATCTAATTCAACTTATTCAATCACAAATAATAATAATAATAATAATAATAATAATAATAATAAAACACGTCAAAAGAAAGTTATTCAATCAGCATTAATTGATTGGAAAATGAAATCATCATCATCAGATATGAGTAATGATTCAACAACTACAACAAAACCTGTTATATTATCTGATTCTGTACAAGCTTTTTGGCCTCCACCACCTTCACCATTGACATTAGATAAAGATTCTGGATTAGCAACAATGACATCAACAACTACTGAGCAAGTAAGTCAATAAAAAAAAACCCAAATCAAATTAAATCAAATAAATTTATCTTATTCTTTAATCGTTTCAGACTAAACAATCAGAATCAATACCCATACCAAATCATATTATTAGGTAAAAAGTCATTTTTATTTCTTCAATAAATATTGAATTTTATTGTATACAATTGATCAGAAACCTTACATGTTTTATATAGAGTATATAAGATGAATCTTTGTTTGTAGTTCGAATTCTCACAATGATTCAATAAATGTTAATCATATTAATATATTATCAACGAAGGAAGAAATTGGATCTTATTCTGAACAACATGCATTTACTAATGGTTGTCTAAGAAATGGTATGTTTTATTGGCCTTGTATATATATATATTTCTTTTTCTCTTAATATATAAAAAAAACGAAAGAAAATAGAATCTATTCAGACGTTTTACTTATCATCATGTAATTATCTCAATGATATTAATTGTTTTTGAAATGAAATATACCCTTGAGAGAAATGAAAAATTATTCGTCACCATTGTTCTTAATCATTTCTTTTCATATTTCAGTTAGTTGTTTTCTCTCTTATTTTTCCTTATACGGTCTATAATGTATGCAAATCGAACAATTTTATTTCATGTTGTAAATTATGATGCATATTATATTAATCAATATTGCAAACATTCAATATCTTATCGAATATATAATTCTACGACAATGTATATGTGTATGTTTGAAAAAGAAAAAAAAACGAAAGAAATACGCGTTTATCTCTTTTTTTTCTTTCTTTAGCCAACTAAATCAGTTCTCTCTCATTTCTTTTTTTCTTCTTTTTTTTTTTTTTTGTATTCCTTTCTCTTTTGTGTGAGAATACATAGCATGAGAAGAACACATTTAATGAAGGCGTCATATTGGAGTATCGAAGTTTTATTCTTTATTCTTACTGTTTAAGCTTGATATGAGTAGATATTTTTTTAAATTTATATATATTAACATCATTATTTGACATATTCTATATGACTAGTTTATGTTTTATTATTTAGCAAGTGATACATCTTTAGAAGATACACCAGCATCATATACAGAACGTTTACGTGAAAAATCTCGTTCAATACCAATGAATCCAAATAATGATATGTGTTCTTATTTAGCACGATCAATATCAAAAGATGCTTTAAATGATTGTCATTTACGTCCAAATACACATTTAAATATCACAGAATTTCCTTTAACAAATGAAAATATTTTAAGACCAAAATCAGCTGGACAACAAAATCGTACAACATATATTATATCAAAACAACAAAGTGAAAATTCTGATCATGATTTTCAATCAAAACGAGATTTTTTTGAAAATCGTACATATACAGATAATACATCAATAAATTCATCTTTATCATCAATTCCAACAAATATATTACCTACAAAACCAAAAATATATACGTTATCTCCAGCAAATTCACAAATTAATAATAATAATAATAATAATAATAATAATAATAATAATAATAACGGTCTTTTACAACAGACAACAGTAAATAATACTCCTCAACGTAATGTAACAAGGTAAAAATGATTTCCTTCGATTTATTTTTCTTTTCATTGAAAGAAAAAAAAAAAAAAAGGACAAGGATAGATTGTTATAATACTATCGACATTTTCATTGTTTGCAAATAGATTAGTGAAAATATTAAGAGCCATTTATATAACAAAAAGACATTGATGATAATGATGATAATGATGATGATGACAGGTGGGAAAAAAGAGAAACTGTGCTGAGACATTAATCGACGTACAGCAGGAGATAATTTCATTGATAGCAAAAGATACAACATAGGATTCAACATGTTTTATTAATCTTTTCTCGATATACAGCCCTTGTATTCATACAAACGTGTTAAGAATTCTTGTTTTTGCCAAGGATATGTACTCATTGTCATCATATTAGTTGTATTAAAAGATATGCTAGAATAAGTAAAACAAATAAACACAGACTTTAATTAACCGATAAAATGATTTTTTTTTAAAGAGCTCTTTTTATTTACAAAATATGAAAAATTTACATCAAATTTTCTTTTTCATTTTGTGAACTTTCAAAATTTTGTATGTTAAGACGTTCATGGAATGATTTATCATCCAGACAATTGCCACCATCACCATCGTCTCCTTCCGGTAATCTATATTTTGATTCAACATCCAATCAAACATCATTTCCTCCTCCACCAACTATTCGAAAACCAGTTCGAATTGTTAAAGCCGTACAACGATCATCACCTCCAATAAATGAATTAATTACCACAAATCGTCCATTAGCAACATCAAAAACATATTCACTTGCTAAACCCGGTCTTTTTGCAGCTTCTCCATTAAATTCCTATCAAAAATTACCTAATAAAATTTCACATTCAATTCGACGTTTTCAATCTCGTGATGAAAATGATTTACAATTTAATTTAAAAGAATTTGCTTTACGTTATCCACATAATCATTCATTAAATGAATCAGAACGTTTAACATTATCAAATGAACATCATATTAGTACAGATTATACACGTGCATTATTTCCTATACCTGATCGTTTAAAACGTATACGTTCAAGACAAAGTTCAGGTGGTGATACAAGTTCTATAACAACTTCGAGTAATTCATCATCAGATTATATTCATCGAACAGTATCGAATGATAGTTGTATTTTTGATGATGATACTCTTCGACAAGCGGTAAAAAAAATGAAAAAAAAAAATATATATTTTTTTTTTCTTTTAATTATATATTATTTATTTTTGTTTTTTAGGAAGATTTATTAATTAATTTAAGAAAACGTCGACAAATTCTAAAAGAAAATCAACGAACAATTAACGAAGAAATTGAAGATAATAAAATTCTTGGTGCTAAAGTATTACTAGAAAAATAACTTAATAATTGATTGTATACATTACTTTATTTTTTTAGTTATTAAATATAATTGAATCCAATGCTGAATCAAATGAAATCGAAAAATTCAAATTACATATTAATGAAATCGATACAATAACATCAATCCTTCTGAAACTAAGTAGTCGATTAGCTAAAGTTGAAAATGATTTATTGATACTTTCCGATAGTAATGAGCACACAAAGGTAAAACTTAATAAATAACGTAATAGAAAAAACGTTTATAGTTTTCATGCAATTAGCTCAAATCTAGACAGTAATTTTAATGGTCAATGAAATTTTCTATCTAATGTGTTCTATAGGAAGATTTCCTATAATGGCAAAGTTTATCAAAAAAAAAATTGAATACAGTAATTTTCAAATAATGCTATTTTAAAAAACATAAGATGACGGATCGCTAAATATTCTATGATCTTCCCTTAAAAAATTAAAAATATCACAAAAAACGAAATTTATCAACAAATTGATTAAAAAACACTTTTCTTCGGTTTTTTCCGATGCTTTTAACTTTTTAAGAAAAAGTCATAGAGAATGTGGCGATTCCTTTTTTTTAGCTCTTTAAAGCGGCATAGTTAAAAAAATAGTCTTCTGAGATCTGACAACTACTGTGTCTGGTTTTATAGAAACCTTGCCATGATAGTTCATTTATAACGTCTTACTGTCAAATACATCAGATGAAAAGTCCATTGGCTATTAAAATCGTTATTTGGTAGAGTCCGTCGGATCTGGATCCGAAAGTTTTAGAGCCCATGGATTTTAGTCATCCGAAAAATATATAGAATGCACTAATCATCAAATATATAAACCGGAAAAATGTATTTCGTAACTTTGGAGCGACTATCCGATTAGAAAATTTTATTGAGCGTATCAAACTACGGTTCAAAAACAGTTTGAATCCAATGGGTTCCATTATCTGAATTTGAGCCAGATGCTTAATACTACAGACAAAAAAAAATATAAATACGTTCTTGTGAACATTTTTTTTTCACGGCCTTCTATTATTAATTTAATCACATAGTATTATTTTTTATTTATTAAGGCAAGTTTAATTGAACGACGTGAAAAAGCTCAACAAAAACATGATGAAGCTAAATCATTGAAAGATGGTATTGATCGTCGCAGTCGTTTAGTAACAAATATCCTTCGAAAATATCTTTCTAATGAACAATATGATGATTATGAACATTTTATAAGAATGAAATCAACATTATTAATGGATGCAAAAGAAATTGAAGAAAACATATTAATTATAGAAAAACAAATTGACATTTTAACTCAAATATCAACATCAGATTGTCAAAATTTACAAACATCGAATAATGCCGAAAGTTTACAAACGAATTCTTTTAAAGCTATATCGAGCACGGCCTAGTCGTCTGTTTTTTTTTTGTTTTTGTCTTTTATTAATAAACATTTATTTTTTCAAGTCGATAAAATTCATAATTATGTTTATTTGTCTTTATATACTTTAGATAAACATATATATAACAAAATAGATATTTGTGTTTGTGTCATCTTTTCTTATTGCGCTGTTTTGTTTTTTTTTTCTCGATGTTGACCGGTTCTCCTTTTTTTGTCGATGTTGTACGTAAAGAGAAGAAAAAAAGAAATTAATGTGAATAGAATTGACAGATTTCTCTAATAGCATATTGCATATGATTGAAATGATGCAAATGTCAAGGATTTAAAAAGTATATGATTGAGTCATAGCTATGGAAGATGGGACGACAGATGGATGACTAATAAAAAAAAAAGATATTACATATATTTCTGAAATCTTTCTTTAAGGAGTTTCAAATAATACATGACAACTCGTGTAAATAGAAAAAACTCCAAATTCAGATCATATTTATGAAATGAGAAAATTACTCTTTAGATAGGCACATCACATGATGACTTATATGAGAATAATGAAGATTTGTTTTTTTTTTTCTTAAATGAATAGATAAAGAAAAGAGAAAAGGCAGTTAATCGAGAAAGAAAAGATGAATTTAGTCACGTTCTATTTGAAGTATCTGTTAGGATGAAACATGCCAGTTAGTTGTTAGTTAAAAAGAAATGACAAAGAGATGTGTCATTTGCAGTTTATCTGAATTATTTATGAAATAGAATTTTTCAGTCTCGAGCATGAATGTACGTCTAAATGCATTGAGTGGGTTTAGAATTGGACTTTTAGTGTAATACTAATAAATGCTTAGGAATTAGTAACATTTCATTGTCCAAAGAATTTCATTTGAAAGGAATGTTCTACGTGAAAAAATGTCTTTTCTATAGTGCAATAATGACTAATGTGTTGTTCTAAAGTGACTATCTATAATTAAGACTATTAGTCAGAGAAATATTAAAATTCAAAGTCAAGAAAATAATAAATGAAATTTGATACACGCAATCCTCTCCATTTTTGAGCACAAATTTTAAAAAAAATCATGTTTTTACTACTGTTATTCATTTTGTACGATTCAATATTTCACAAAACAAAACTGTGAAAAGGTTATAAAATGAAAAAAAAAGGTATTTGATGCATATAGCAATTTTAAAATGTTATATTCAATAAAATGATGAATATATTTCACTTTGCTCTACTGATCAGTATTTAATGATGTTGTATTCATTTGAGAGCTCAAGATAAGCAGGACAAAAACGATGCAATTTTATTTCAACTACTCACATTAGACGATAGAGTCAATCACGAAAAAAACAAGTTCAGCTTAATGCAACAACTCTACTTCAATGAGAATTATATCTTATTATATATTTTAAAGCAGACTATCACATTTTGTCGACTATCATCTGCAGAATCCTTAGTGAAACCCCAAGGACTTCCTGAAAAGTCCGTAGGGAGTCTCCGATTTTCAAGGAATATGAATAAAGACAAAAACTTCCTGAGATATTTCTGGAGAATCGCCAAGGGGCTTATGGCGGAGTGCATTACTTATATACTTCAAATTTAGTGACCAATTTAAAAAAAAATTAATCTAACGAAAATATATGGTGTTCGTTTGATGCAGAACTATCATTATAGCAACGTCAATAAGTACGTATTACCTTAGAAAAATCCATTCTATTTTTGCTATTTAAATTAATTTTAACAAAAATTTCGATAGGAGATATTATTTTTAAAATATAACTCATATTTTTCTTTATTCAAAATACCCTTAAAATCCACTGCAAGCTGACGAAAGTTGCATATGAATACAATGATATATGACATCGTATACGACCCTTTATAATATTCATGATTCTCATTTTGTTTTTTTAAGGAACTCCTGAAAATTGTCCCAGGGATTCTTTGAGGGAGAATTGATTTAGAATGAATTAATATATCAGATTCGCCTTATTAAAAAACAGTACTTCAATTTTTCTACATATTTATTTTAATCAAGAAGCAATAAATCTATCACAAGTTGTTTCATCATTTCAGTTCTTAAACATAAACATTCAATAACATCACTTGTACATCATCTCTTTTTTTCTATTATTATTGCAACGTCATATACAACACTACTCCAGCAATATCTTCTTGAGTCCTGTAATCATGCGTGAATACATGTGTTCTTATTTTTCGAGAAAGTACAGATACTAGTACTTCATTTGTTATTCTTGAATTGAAATAAAATGACGATTTAAAAACTTCCTTAGGTATTTAAACAAATGAAGGATTAGTGAAAGTAAAGCCATCTGTAAGAGGTACAGGAGAATAAATATGACCATTGAAATGAATAATTAGAAAGAATAATCAAGATAGAACCTATTTTAGTTTGATTTGGTTTTGATGCTTTCATTAGAACTGTTGGTGGACTATTTCATGCACAATATCGTGTCAATTCTTAATAGAATGGGATGGAAGGACCTACGACTAGTACACTTGAAAGATCACTTGATAGTACTCATGGAGATGAACATCCTGATTAAAAGAAAAAAAGAACAATTAGAATTCATTAAAAAAGAAATTTCTTTGAAACTAAATCATGTACAAATTTTTATTTAGAAATTATTGATGGTGATGTAACATGGTGAGAAACAACAATAGTTGAATATAAAGAAGTGATTGATACGTTGAAAGCGCAGCCTCTAGATGATATCGACTAAGATCTATTGAATTCAAAATAACATTACTGTTCTTTCATCGTCTGGCATTTACTTAGATATCAATTCAATTGTTAGTGTTATATTAAAATCATTAGTTGAATTTTCTGGTGATGACCAATTAGCATCAAACCGGGCTACGAACGATTGTTCAGCAAGAAGTTGAACTCGAAATTTTTGTGGAATACATAAACTTTGTTTTTGTTGCTGCTGCTATTGCTCTTGCTATAATGTATGAATATCAACTCTGCAAAATGGATATTGTGCTTTGAGAATACAAGTCCATTTATTCATTAGTAAAATAAATTAATTTTCTCTTTATAAATTTTTTAAATAAGCAAGTGCTGCTCTTATACTATCTTTATTAGCTAATAATTGTTCAAATAAAGGTAAACGTCGACTAATCGATGGTTCATCCATAGATATGTATAGTAACTGTTGTCTTTTGTTGTTGTTGTATATTATCATAATTCAATCAACGTTTAAGAACAAATAGTTTTTTAATTAATGCTTTTTCTCACTCTGAAATCATTTCTTTTTGTTTATCCATGTAGTCAAAAACCGAGAAAAAAACCGGCGATTTACCGCTAAAAATGATCTGATTTTTGTGACATGGGTATATTTACTAGACCAAATTATATGGTATTGTTCGAATGGTATGGGTATCGATGTGGATACAGACATGCAACAGACGCAAAACCACACACCCTTAGGTATCGATTACTATCTATATTAATTAATTGGTTTTTTCTGCAGAAGATTCTATCTAGCCTAAAATGTTTCTCGATGGTGTCATCAAGTTGAATAGACGCATACGATGACTCTCAAATGGTATCATTTTTTCATCATATGTGACCATTAGAGGGTGATCCGACAATTGAGCTCTCGATACTTGAGCCTTTATCGCTTAATTACAAAAGAAATTCAATCGCTATTCAATAATTTTGTTCAATACAAGTTTAGCAGACAGAAGCATGCAACATTTTTCTATGAGACCGATGAGCCCCTATTATACTCCTCCATAGCCAAATCAGTCATTTCTACGAAAGCGAGTACGATTTTCAAATTATTTTTATTTTTGTTATCCAGTTTCCATTACTGTTCTATCTTTGCGATTTTTTAAAACAGTATCAATTGTGATATCCGTAAAAAGCAAGTACCAATCTCTACTTGATGGCTTTGCTTATCTCTAAGGAGTGTGATTATGATTGCAATGGAATGTAGATATTCTGTTCACATACAGCAACGCACAAACCTGATGCTCTTGGTTTTTATTAAGATGATTCGTTCAGCTATAGAGAAATATACTAGCGAGTCATTAATACTGTAGGAATATGGTGCCAGTTTGTGCGTACTACAGATAGATACAGAACAGAACAAAACTATAATTTATACCCAATCCTACCGCTCACCATGACAGGGTCAGATAGCAAGTGGGAAAAAAATTTGTACTATGTCCATCTCTATTGTGCATTACTTCTGAGTTCAACAAAGTTATTGAATATTGATTTAATTTCTTTCGTAATCAATCAATAAAGGCTTAAGTGTCGGGAGCTCAACTGTCGGCGTACCCCATTAGCGAAATTTACATTATCTCTTGTTGTTCGAGTTTGAACTTCATTCATCAATGAAGTACAGTTGAATAACGATATCTTTTCTAAAATGTTACATCTACATCTGTTGATCTTCGATATCGTCACTGGAAACCCCATTTTTTCCCAAGCCCTATCATCATCTTCTTCTGATGTAGGTGAAGTTAGCACTCGATTCGAGTAATTCCGATGGCGATTCGTTCACAAGCCTGTTCCAAGTACAACTCGACGAGCTCTATTCATTGGTATGCTCAGATGTTCCATAGTCCAAATTATAATTTTTAGAACCATAGATGGGGTTATGGCAAACGTGAAAATCGTAGTATGAGTTATAAAAATCTGAGCATACCAATGGATAGAGCTCGTCAAGTTGTACTTGGAACACATATTGAAACAAGCTCCTCAACGAATCGTTGGTGGAATTACTCGAATTCGCTGATAACTTTATCTAAGTCTTCTTCTAATATTCGATGTACATTCATTCAAAGAGAGTTTCATATTAATTACTATATCGATTATTATTCACAAGAACTAAATCTATGTCATATTTATTAGCTTCTATTTACTATGAAACGTATGCACAATATAATTAACAGTTTTTCCGGTGGCCTATTTATGAGTGTTTGTAGACTGTATTTAAATGATTTGTTTGTTCTATTCGAACATGATTGCTTTGTTAAAATACCTCGAGTTT